TTCGAAACTGCCACCTCAAACCCTGACCTGCAGACAGGGCTGTTGGTGCTGTGTTCTCTCCCTGCGTGTAATTCAGTTAGTGCACTTGTTTGTTTCAGCTGAAATTCAAAACTTGCATTTGGCAACTGACCCTGGCTCAGATTGATTTTCAGCTTGTTACTGGAGACTTGGTCCTCTGAGCTTCCAGCCTTGCTGTGCTTGACGTCGCCTGCAGGGCCCCATCCTAGTCGGCTGAGGGTGAGGCTGGCAGAGGCGGGACCCACTGTGGAAGCCTGGTGACTTGGCAACGCAGCCACCCCTGAGGCAGTTTTGATTAGAGCCCTCTTGTCCTTCCCACTGCCCGGGTGAGCTCAGGGGCACTGGTGGGCCTCCAGGATCAGGAAGGACGGGCCCAGAACCACCTGCTTCCCTTCCTTGGGAGTGTCCTCAGGCCTCTCCAGGGACACACTGAATTCACCCACTGTGAAATGCTGGTCAGAGCACTGGCCTAGGGGCCCCTGTGCTCGTCCCCAGCAACGCAGACAAAACTCCCCTGTACAAAGCCTTCCCTGCGAGGAGACAGCCCTGCCTGATGGCGAAAGTCTCTTTGCTGAGGAGGTGGGAAGGGGAGGTGGCCTTGGCAAAGCAAGGCCCTGGAGCCGAAGCCTCCAGGTTGGCGGGGCATCGTGCAGAGCAGAGCCCTCCTGACCTGCCGAGGTGGGCTACCTGTCTGAAGAGCCACCATTTCAGGAGTACAGTCCAGTGCCTCGGCCAGTTACATAGACTTTAAACCATCCCCTCGCCCCAGAAGGAACACCCTGCCTGTCGCCTCCCTGACGCACCTGTCCCTTCCCGGCCGGCAGCCCCGCTCCCCTTCCCGGCCGGCAGCCCTGCTCTGCCAGTTTCCTGCCTGCGGAGCCAACGCTGGGAGCCTTCCCCTCGCACCCCCTGCCTGAGCTCGAAGGCCATCCGCAGACTGCTGGGGACACATCCACCAGTCTCTCCCGTTGTCTTTCGACACTGAGAGTGGCTTCTGTGTCAGCAGGCACCAGCTCTGGCCAGACATGTGGCTGCAGTGCTTCTGTAAGGGACGGCTCCACCATGAAGCCCCAAGGACCTTGCTTGGACTCCTGGGGGACCCTGGCAGACTGGACCAGTGGCCCCTGAGTTTCAGTGGACAGTCCTGAGACCCTGCAGGACCACTCCTCCCTGCCCTGGGAGGTGGCACGAGGAGCTTCTCCTGCCCTCCTTCTGGTGAGGTGGGGTTCCCTGCCTCCTTTCCCAGGTAGAGCTGCAGGCCACAGCCTCTCAGCTGCTGCCTGGATGGGCCTCGGCAGCAAGAGTCAGACGTCCACCTGGCGTCACCTGCCCTTGGCCTTCAGGGTTTGTGAACCATAACTGCCTTAATCACCTGTGGCTTGCTCTGTACCGAGGACGTGTCACCATCTGTGACATCAGAGTGCTTCATGGGCACGCAGTTGCTGGATTTGGCGGGTCGGACTGACAGGCGGTAAAGACAGCCTCTGTGAGCGGTGGAGTCTATGTTAGTGATGATACAGAAGCAAGAGCAAAAGCAAGTGATGGTCTGGGGTGTGTCTACGCCCCCTGGCTGGTCCCAGCAGGAAGCTGGGGCCCAAACAGGCAGGCAGTCATCGCATCAGCTGACCAGAGATGCCTAGTCCATCGTCCTGTGGGTTGAGGTCATGGGCCCTGATCACCAGGGCTGTACCCACTTCTCCAAACATGCCCACTCCTGTAAAATGATTCCCTCCCACAAAACAGAAACAAGCCACCGGATTTCACCAATGGGAAGACCTCTGCCATATTTGGACCAGATGAATTTTATATAGACATAAATTTAAAGTACAGGTTTTAAAATCATTTGAAAGTTTTCACTTCCTTCTCTTTTAAAAATTTAGGCAGTGGACAGTAGGAAAGGAATAGCAAGCTACCCACATGACTTAAGATGGGGCGTCCCTGGACACACAAGAGGAAAGGGCGCCCTGAGCACCGAGCCTGCTGTAGACCCCACTGTCCCACACCAGCCCTGCCGACCCGTGAGAACCAGGCGTGCCCCACAGCTCCTGAGAGGCGCTGTCTCTCAACTCAGTGGAGAGGGAAGATCACAGGCCTTGGCGGAGTCCAGGAAGCCAGGGCTGCTGGCCTCAGCGCACCCTAGTCGGGAGGAACTCCTTGCCGGCTGCTGAAAGGCCTGGGGCACTCCTCCCGCTGTCCTGCAGGTTTCCAGAGCCTCAGGGATGCTGGCGCCCTGTCCTCCCGCTGTCCCGCAGGTTTCCAGAATGCTGGCTGGCCCTGCAAGCTCTGCGTCAGTGGCCGTGTCATCTTGCTAGGTGTCTTTGCTTGCTTACAGGTGACTGGTGCCAGGTCTGTGGGTCCCAGGACCCGCCTGCCATTGAGCCAGTCCCTGCTCCACTCTACTGCCAGCGAGTCCCCATCCTTCACGTTCTCCATCAGGGCAAAGTCCTCTGACCCATCGCTGCGTCGTCCTCTGGGAATTATTGATCTGTTTCTTTCAGTTCTTTATTAATTAGTGATTGTGAGCAAGCTTGCATGGCCAGCCTGGCCGGGTACTCTCACTAATTAGAAAAGCATGTTTGTGCTGAGCTGGGCAGTTTTGCTGGTCAGTTGTTGGGGATGTTTTTGTGTGTGACCCAGGCCTTCTGGGAGGTACTTCTTGGTTTGGCATTACTCTCTGTCAAAGGGAAGTGACACCAGGTTCTGTTTAAAGCGAGCGAGCTGTTCACCCAGTCTGTAGGGGAGCAATAGCTTCCAGCCTCCACAGCTCGGAACAGTGGGAGTTAATATTGAATGCGTCCTGGAGTGCACCGCGGATCTGCTGGACGGAGGGCCAGCGGGGGCTGAGAGAGCCACGCCATCGCCCCAGAGGGGACCCATTAGCACAGCCACTCTGCCCGTCCTGCCGTGTGGAGTCCACATGTCGTTCTGCACTCCTGGCTCAGGCTTGCCTCTTGCCAAGGCGGTGGGTGCCACGGGAGAATGTGCCCCCTTTCCTCGGGCCTGGTTGGTGGAGCTCATGGGGGCACTTGCTGTGGCTGCCATGAATGTGGTGTTGCCCTGGCCCCGCTGGGAGCAGCTCAGGTGTTTCAGTTGGTGGACTGGTCTTGTCTCAGAACCGCCCACAGTGGGGCTGGTGAGGAGCTGGCCGCCCTCGGGCACGTGCTGCGTGGCTGCCTTACAGTGGTGTGCACAGCCGGGCTGACCCTCGTCTTCAGGACCCTTGGTATTGACACAGACCGTCTGGTGCCCAGCTTGAGCCCCTGTTGCAATGAAACTATTGGTGCAAGCCACCTTGCCGAGCAGTGTCACTGAGCCCATCGGGTCACAGCCAGACACCAAGGCTGGTAGCCCCATGCTTGGCTGCCCACATCTTCCCCCTGGAATGCAAAAGCTCCTCTGTGCAGCACGACTTAGGCTGCGTCCCTGGCCTACTGTGGCCAGGTCAGCTGGCACCTCTAGGCCCCAGATTGGCTATGTTGAGGAAGTCACCCCTGAGCTCACAAGATCATTGTCACTGCTGTCCCTATGAGGAGCCCCACATGGTCACTCCCCCACTAGTCCAGTGGAGCTCCTGCGGGCACAGCAGAGGACAGCCCAGCCCCCCGAGGTGCTGAGCCCCCAGGAGCCCCTCCCGTTCCCTCCTTTCCAGCGTCCTGCTCGGCAGTCCTGGAGTCTGAGCGCCGTGCGAAGAGCAGTGACTTGGGTGGTCTGCCCTCCAGGGCCCTGGGTGGGACCCTGTAGGGGGCTCCTGGCCTCACCAGGCGTTCTCTGTCTTCAACTCTGAGTTCTGTGCTGCAGCCACGCTGCTGAGCTGAGAAGACTGGTGAAGTGACTTCTCTAACGTCCAGCGTTCGGGTCCTTCCTCTGGGGACGAGGAGCCGGGAGGGGACTGCTGGGCACTGCGTCTGTTTCCATCTCAGAGGCCGTCCACGGTGGCTTCCTTCGCAGGGCTGACTTCTGTCTGATGTGGGTGTGGCTGACAGTGGACGGACGCTGGGGGTTTGGTGAGCCCCGCTGCAGTCGCTGGTGTCCCACTAGTTGGGTGGCACGCTAGTGGAGTCACAGCTGAGTGGCTTCTAACACACTCACTCAGCAGCAAGCACCCACTGCACAGCTTATGAACACGGACAACTTGCCTCCTGCTGGGGCGGTGGGCTGTCTCTGGCTGGAGGCCGCAGGAGGTGGCTGCTCCCAGTGTGCACCCTTGAGCCCCAGAGTCATGGTGCGAGGTTCACGGCCACTCCTGGAGCCAAGCCACCACCAGCGAGGACAGAGGAAAGGTCCCCAGGGTGCAGCGTTTGTGCTGCTCCTTCTCTTCTTGGAGGTGTCTCCTTTTTCTGTCCACTCCTGAGTCTACGGGACGAGGCTTCAACCTGCCATGTTCCAAGCAGGGCAGAGGTTGGGCATCAGTTGGCTCTAAGCGTTGGGCTTTAGTTACATACGAAGGTTTCCTGTCTCCATCCCTCTCGTGGGTTGGAGCATGGACATTCCCAAAGCCAGGTCCTAGAGAAAGAAAGACTGAAGGCCAGCATAGGCACGTCGGCCAGGTGAGGGAGGGCCAGGTGCAGGGACGACGGCCAGGGGTGGCAGGGCCAGGTGCAGGGAGGACAGCCAGGCGAGGGAGGGCCAGGTGCA